GTGCCCACAAGAAGCGGCTGCCCCAGTGCCGTCAGCTCCGAGAGCTTCGAGCAAGCACCAGGTACAGTCGGCCTCGGCAGTCTTGCCGAATCCCAGGCCGGGATCGAGGATGATGTCTGCTCGACGCCCGCGCGCAGAGCGCTGGATGTTGTCCAGTAGCTGTGCGCGAAGGTCTTGCAATCAACGACTCCGGGATCAGGCTTAGCGTATGCTGTGACCCCTGGCTGGTTGTGCATAGAGAACAGATTGGCACAGCCCCTCGACGAGGGCGCCAGCTCTAGCACAGGCCGCTCGCTCTTGAGCCCACAATCCCACAGTCAGCTTGCATCATGGATGACGCGGCATTGTTGCACGCCTCTAGCGCAGCCACCTCGTGACTTGTAGTGTCCACGCTGACGGCCACGCTGCAGCGCGATGAGGCCAGCAGAGTGATCGAATTAGACGTCACGGCAGAACTCGTCTCATTTCCTCTTCCGCGTCGCACGGCGTATCGGCCGGCGACGCGTGGACACTCGCCCACGACACACGTCTATGCATGTCCGACCGCCCTCTGCCGGAGCGCAGGGACAAAGGCCCAGGCGCGCGTCGGCAGTCGTGGGCCAGTCGGCGATCGCCTGAGAAGAGTCCGCGCGCTCACGTTCCCGATGCCCATGACGCGAACGTGCGCTTCTCACTCGAGCGTCAGGGGACGCCGCCAGAGCGCTGAGTTCCGTATGTGCCGGCGTGTCACTGCCCCGCCTCCTCGAAGGTTGGCCCCCGCGGCGGGATATGAAGCCATTGCAGAGAAGCACAGAATAGCAAACACTCAGTACGACCAACCGTTCGCAGATGAACGCCTATAGACGCTTTCCAAATACCCTCTCCCGGAGTGTGGAGCCTGTCCAGACACCTTTACCAGGGCACTGGCGCTAATGTACAAGCCGGCCCAACGGTCACCGCAACGCGCACATTGCAAACCTCGGACTACCTCATGGCAACTGGATCCGCCTGGCATGGAAGCCAGGGCTAGCAGTAATCCACGTAAAGAATATAACCGATAAGTGAGGCACCACATCGCCAGGAATGCTGGAGCAACTGCGACAAAGACAAGCAGCTGATCGCATCGCGCCCTGGCCCAGAGACAGAGCAAGACACCAGCCGCAGATACGGACTTCATAACACGAGGCATTCCACAGGCCGATAGAGGCCAAGAACCGGGGAATAATAGCCCGCCAACACCCAGCCTCCCCGCGAGCACGCGACCAAAGTCGACGAGATGCAGTAACGCGATAAGGAGCGCACATGGCAGAGGGGCATTACGCCTACGAGGTTGAGAGGCACCGTGTATTTCTAAAGTGGAACCGGCACCTCCACGACTAACGGCGACCACCATAAAAACACTCTGTAAATCATTGACAAACATGAGTTTATTAGTTGTGGGTCACACCAATGATGCTGTTTATTGCAAAATTGAAAAAATGTCGAATTGGAATAAACCTGCTTATGATTAGTTTATGGGCACTGTTAACTAAAAATGGATGAATGTTGAATGTTGTTTTTAAGATTACAAAAAAACTAATGGTCATAATGGGCTCACAAATGTTTTTATGCTTTAAAATGGTTTGAAAAATTAAATCAAATATGTTAGTGACTGTAGGAAGTGTGTGTGTTTTTCGTTGGTTGGTGATCTCTGTTGATTTTTGTATCCGTTTATCCGAGCCAACACGGAAGGAGAGAGTGCACCTGGAGGCGCGTTGAGACGGCAGAGGCCGATCCATCTGAAAAGCGCGACCAGCGCCCGACTTCACGCTTGCTGCGAAGGGCGGCCGAGCTGAAAGGCAGAATGTGTTCTGCCCAAGCCGTGGCGACGGCCTTCCCCGGCGATCGAGCCCACATCCGTAGTGTATCCGCCCATGTCCACGAAGATACCTGCGGCGAGCGCCCTGAGACATCCACAATGGAGGCCTAGTGACAACAGTGTTCCGACACCATCGAGGGCGCGATGCTGCGCGCAGAAGCAGAAGAGGGCGCATTCTGAGGAACAAGTATTGTAGCGCCACGTTCTGGTCCATGGCCAGATCCTTTGGCAGAGGACGTGAGAATGGGCACAAGTCTCGCGCCCCACTATCAGCACTATAACCCTTCTATCAGCCGCTACACGATTACCTCTTCATCACTTAGTCACCCCATAATACTCCTTCTTCCCCAGTCTTTTTCATACACCCCTTTCCTTCTCCCATTGTGACTCCTCTCGTTTGCATTTCCCCTCCTATCAACTTCCCTCATCCCGTCCCGATTCCCCTCCGCCCTCACTCTCTGTTCCAGCGACTGCTTTTACCTTTTCGCAGTGTCACCCCCCCGACAACTTTCGTCCATTCCCACCACTTTCCATCCCCGACCCATTCTCACACCCCACCCTCCCCCGCCCGCAATTCGCCCCCTTTTCTTTAAATATCTCCCCTAACCGTCGAGACTATTTCCAATACATTAATTCCCATCCATCGTATGTCTCACCCTCACCACTATGGCATAATACCCCCCCTTCACCACTTACTCTCACATCCGAACAGTCGCTAGTTCTTTTGTACCCACCCCCCCTCTTTCCATCGTTCCCAGATTCACTCTATCTCCCTCTATTGTTTCGTACCCTTGGTCTCTCTGCAGCCTCAAGATTTTTACAAACCTATCGCCCTTATTCAACATGCACTGAGCCCCCGCCCCCTTTCCCCCCCCCCTCTATTTCCGCTCCCCATTCTACACCTGCTTCATTAACACTTCACACCTTTCCCTTGACACCCGGGCCGTGATCTATCCCCCTAATCCCTTTCCGCTTTGTCCCCACAGCAATCCCCCCCCAAACGTTCGTCCCTCCTCTCGCAGTCGCGTCACTTTTTCCCCGTCTGAACCCTCCTATCTCAACCTCCTTCAAGCCCACTTCCCCACCATCTCAATCCCCCTCGATGCCTTTTACTCGTCTCGCACGACAAGAAGACTACCTTCCCTACCTCGCGCCCCCTCCCTATAGACACGTCTATATTCGTCCCTACCCATCCGCTAACGTTTTGCAGACGCCTTCACCCATCCCTCCTTCGCCCCCTCCTCTCCCCTCTGTATACCCCCAACCCGCCTCGCCATACACTGCACCCCAACTACCCACTCTTTCTTGACATTGTACGTCTTTACATCACTATCCACCCAATGCTCCCCCTCCACCTCTTATTCTTCTCCCTCGCATGTCCCACATACGCGCTCCACGACTTTTCTATCTCCCCGTCTTTTGTGGTCTTTACCTCGGTAGACTTCGCACTCATCCGTCACTTTCCATGTATCTACCCGAGCACATTTTCCACCTCTTCGCCCTTTGTAATAAGCAGCCAATCGGGCTTGCCTCCTACTTCTTTGACTCCCTCTCGCGCTTCCACTTCTATCGTTCCTTGTACTACCTCTTTATTAGCTCCACTGGGTATCCTCTTCTTATGAACAAGCCCACCCCCCCCGAACTCGAAAGTCGACTGCTTTGACCGAGTAGAGCATCTCGGGTGTATCCTCTGCCTCATCGGTGCCGACTACCGCTCCAGACCTCACTATTCACGTTCTCCGGCGAACTTGCCGTGGCGGCGCAGCGAGGCCCAGCGTCTGCGCACCTCCCGCACCGCGCTGATTGGAAGTCGCAGTCGGCCCCTACGGCCCGGACGAGACCATCGCTGGCGACACCGAAAGATGGAGCAGTGGAGGCAGAGGACTTCCTAGCGACCCGAGCAATGAACGACCGACTATGACCGGACCTGCCCGGCTGCGCGGCCCCCTGCGTGGGCGATGACCGACGATACCGGCACTCGTGCCGGATCACGCAAAGCATGGCGCAGCCTGCCTAGCTGGAAATAGACGCCATAAACTGGGACGCTGAAGCAGTTAAGCCGGCTACGTGGCGTACTTTGGATGGAATCAGTTCCGTGCGAGCGTAGCCAGGAGAAACAATATTTCTCACGGCGGCGCGAGTAGCCCGCGCCGTCGTGACTCGAAGCGACCCAGCGGGACTACCCGAGAAGGCGCGAGAATCGTGCCTGCCGCAGCAGGTGGGCGAGGACGAGTAAATCCTCGAGGACGCCGCGCCCACCGGCAACACGCGCCGAAGCCAAGTCTGGACCTAGGAGCGGGCCGCCTGGAGCGGTTGGCGGAGATCCGTCGTCGCCGATGACCTGCACGTACTGTACGCCACTGCATCCGAAGCGTGCCCGACAGCTGGAGTTCTCGTGAGAGTATCGTGCGTGCAACTATCTCGGAGACGTGCAGCGGTGCATCAACAGCCTGCTGACGCTGGCGAAGAGCATCCTCTGCAGCGTAGTGGTAGCGGATGGAGTACGGACCTCCACGCGACGGCACCCTACGCGTGGCTGCGAGCGAGAAGGACGGCGACAGGAGACTCGCGCGCCAATGTGTAGGTGATACACGCGCGACACGTCCTGGGCCGCGAAGCGACAAGCTGCGAAGACATACTGACATCAAGCATGATGCCTTAGGCACCCGCTACGAGTCGTGCTCATCACACGACACGCCTCCGTGTGCTGAGGCCACGTACGGAGGACTTCTTTCGCGCAGGCCGGACGCGCCGATGGCAAGATGACTTTAGCCGTGGAGGAGTAGCCTTGCAGGACCCTGGTGGCGCTACGTACCTCAGACCTGCGGCACTTCGATGAGATCGACGAGGGCAGGGCGGACGCGATACAGGCGTACTGTTCGCATTCCGGAGAGCGCTGCTGCCGGAGGTGGACCTCATGCGGGAGAGCTTCCGCTTCTACCGCAACCTGGACCTGGAGTACAGCTTCTGCTTCCTGGAGAGGGGCTACCGCTGATGGCGTTGTCCTCGCTGCCGCTGCAGCGCCACGAGCACCGGGTGTGGACGAGCCTGTCGGAGGAGGAACGGGAGGAGCTGAGTATGGTAACTTCCGCCGCTTCCTCAGGCGCTGGGGCCACCGCCACGAGCTTCTGGTCTCATCGGGCGACGGCTAGAGAGGCCGCCGCTAGGCCTGCGTCGCCGCGCCGGCGGGGGCGCCGAGCTCCGCCGGCTCCACCTCCACCATCGTCTTGCGCAGCTGGTTTCCGAAGTGGTGCACCAGCCGCTCGGCAACGAGGTCCATGTCGACCGGGGCTCCCAGCAGGCTCTGAATGCTGCCGACCACCGCGCCCGGCATTCCACAGGGCACAATGTGGCGGAAGTAGGACAGGTCTGTGTTCACGTTCAGTGCGAAGCCGTGGGTGGATATGCCCCGGCTTATCCGCACGCCCACGGAGGCGACCTTCACGTCGCCAACCCATACGCCGATCACGTCAGGTATCCTCTCGGCGGCCAGACCGAAGTCGTTGAGCGTGAGGATGACCACCTCCTCCAGCGAGCAGACGTAGTCCAGCGGCCCACCGAGAGGTCGGACGTCCATGATGGGGTAGCCCACCATCTGGCCTGGGCCGTGGTAGGTGACTCAGCCCGCCCCTGTCGGCGTGCACGACGCGCACGCCAAGCCGCGCCAGGGCCCCGTCGCTCGCAAGCACGTCGTCGATGATCGCGCGACGGCCGAGCGTGTACGTGTGGTGGTGCTCAAGGAGCAGCAGTGAGTCCGGAAGCTCGCCGTCCGCCCTGCGGCGGGCAATGTTCCGCTGCATGTCCCACGCCTCGGTGTAGTCCAACTCTCCCAGGCGCGTGTACAGGCAGTTCTGCGGGGCCTTTGGGCCGGCCGTCAATGGTATCTCTCCTTTGGGGGCGCCGTGGGGCGCTACACGCCCTGCAGGAAGTGGAAGGTGGGCTCGTCAGAGACGCCAGCGGCCTGCATGGCCTCGCGCGTCGCGTCGGAGGCGGCGAACTGTCGCGCCCTCTCCAGCTCGTCCCACTCCATCAGGACCAGGACTTCCCAGGGGTCGTCGCCGCTGCGGAATACCTGGGCGTCCCCCACCTGGCCGGCGGCCTCACGGTCGGCGTTCTGCTCTGCGAACACCGGCCTCCACTTGGCGTAGCTATCCACCTTATGTCTGATCAACAAGTGTGCCAAGGCGAGTCACCTCCCGTTCGGTTGTTGAATGTTGTGCTTGGTGAGGGTTGCAGAACCACCACCTCAATTCGATTATGCAGCATGCGGCGTGGCTGGGCAAGTGCGCTTGTCGGCTAGGCGCCCTTAGCCGGCGGCCTCCCGCGCCTCGCGCTGCGCCCTCGTCTCCCGCGGCCACGAGCGCTTCAAGGCGTCGGTGACGTTGACCGTGAGCTTGCCGAACTCTGCGATCTCCATCTCCACCACGTCGCCGTCCTGTAGCGGCCCAAGGCCAAGGTGGTGCGTTCCGCACGCCACCACGTCGCCCGGCTCAAGCGCCGTAATCCACGTTATCCACTCCAGTAGCTCCGGGATTTTGTGGCCCATGCTGCGGGTGCTGTAGTCCTGGCGCAGCTCGCCCTGAACGCTCAGGCGCACGGGCAGGTTAAGCGGGTCAGCCACCTCGTCGGCTGTGACCAGCGCTGGGCCCATGGGGCCGAAGGTGTCCCACGACTTGCCGATGAAGAAGCTGTCGCGGCCTGCGGGGCCTATGCCCCGGCAGGACACGTCCATGAAGTTGACGTATCCGAATACGTAGTCGTAGGCGTCCTCCGCCCTGACGGCGCTGGCGCGTTTGCCGATGACCAGGCCAAGCTCCGCCTCGTGTTCGAATACTGTGGCGGGCGCGCTCGGCAGCACTATGGTGTCGCCGTTGCCAATGACGCTGCCGGAGGACTTGTTGAAGGCGTTTGATGGGAGCCGGCTCAATTTGGTCGTCGTGCTCCAGGTAGTTGACGGCCATGCACACCAGTCTTGGCGGGCAGGGCAGCGGCGCACGCAGCCGCACGCTTCCGGCGGGCATGCCCGCACCCCCGGCCGCGAGCTGCTCGAGAGCGCCGCGATGGCGGTCGAAGTCCGCTATGAGGCCGCTCATCAGCTCCTGAGGCGAGTGGTGGCTGATCGTGTCCGCAACCGATGAGGCGTCTATCACCGAATCGCCGGAGAGTATTCCCAGCCTGAACTCTTCGCCGAATAGCACCAGCTTCATGTTATCCTCCTTATTTTCCGCGGGCCCCTGCGGATTGGTGTCACTACAGATCCACGTCCAGGGGTATGTCCAGGTCCTTCGCCACCTTCACAAGGGAGTCGTAGGTGGGCCGGTCGAGTGGTATTCCGTTCTCGAGCCGGTCGCGCTCCGCTTCCCATTCGGGCTCGCCGTGCACGAAGATGCGCTCCCAGCCCGGCAGCCTCTCGGAGCCGCGAATGACGCTCATCATCTCGTCCATCTGCGCCTTGAACTCGTCCACGGGGCGGAATCCGTCCACGCGCAGCGCTCCGAAGAAGTGGCCGGTGTTGGAGCCTGCGCCGTCGGAGCGGGCCTGCTCGGCTCGCGCGCCCTCGGGAGTCAGCTTGGTTGCCGTGGCCCCAACGGCCGCGCCCGAAAGCACGCCGGACAGGATGTCGACCAGGAGCAGGAGCCCGTAGCCCTTGTGGCCGCTCGTTTCCCGCATGCCGCCCAGGGGCAGGATATAACCTCCGCCGTGCCTGTCCGCCGGGTTCGTGGACTGGTTGCCCTCGCTGTCGACGACCCAGCCGAGCGGAACTTCCTGGCCGCGCCGCTGCGCGATCTGCAGCTTGCCGGATGCGACGACGGTGGTTGCGAAGTCCATGACGAACGCGGGAGGCGTTCCGGTGGGCGCGGCCACGGCGATGGGGTTGGTGCCGAAGAAGCCGGTGCGGCCGCCCGTCGCCGGCGTGGCGCCGCCGCTGCCCACGTTGGTCATGCAGAAGCCGATCATGTCGTGCTCAAGCGCCATGCGGGCGTAGTAGCCGGCGATGCCGAAGTGTGAACTGTTGCGGACCGACACGAAGCCCGCGCCCGTGGCTTCGGCCTTCCGTATTGCGATTTCCATGGCCCGCTTGCCCACCACCATGCCGACGCCGTTTGCGCCGTCCACCAGGGCCGTGGAAGGCAGCTCATGCACAACGACCACCTCCGGGTTGCCCTCGATGGAGCCGTTCCTGAGCCGGCCCACGTAGCCCGCAAGGCGCGGCACGCCGTGGGACTCGATTCCGTAGACGTCGGACTTGACCAGCACGTCCGCGGCGTCCCGGGCGTTGGACTCGCTCAGACCCAGGGCCGAGAAGGCCGTGAACACAAACCGTTCCAGTCGTCGTGCGTCCACAAGGACGCTGTCGTCTGCCGATTCCGGCGCCATTTCACACCTCCATTGCCGCCGGCTTGCCGCCGGCAGCTTTCCGGTTACCAGGATCGCCTTCCGGCAGCGCCGGTGTCAGCGCATGCTCCGCGCAACGGTTCGGGGCGCTCGTATGAAGAACAGTAGAGGCAGCGAGACCAGGATTGTCCCGATGGACGCGTAGATGGCCAGGTCGTAGGAGCCGCGCGTGTCGAACACCCAGCCGTAGAATACCGGCCCGACCATGCCCGCGCCTATGGCGCCGCCCTGCACCAGTCCCTGGAGCGCTCCGAACGATCGCGATCCAAACAGCTGCATCATCAGGAACGGCCTCAGGGGTATGGTGCCCCCGAATCCTATTCCGAAGAGCAGCAGGAAGAGGCCGATGATCCACAGCTCGCCCGGGCCCATCACACCAAGCAGGAGCAGACCGGTGACCTGGAATACTACGAGCCCGCCCATCACCTTCACGAAGTCGAGCATGTCCGCGAGGAAACCGGCGCCCAAGCGGCCTATGCCGCTGAGCAGGAACATGATGCCCAGGATCGCCGCGGCCTGCGCCGAGGAGTAGCCCATGTCCTCCAGCATGGGTATCAGGTGCACCATCAGCCCGCTTATGCCCATGAACATGGAGGCGAAGAGCACCATGAGCAGCCAGAACTCGCGGGTGGCCACGGCCTGGCGCACGGTCATGCCATCGGAGGCGCCCTGCAGGGCCGCCGGGAAGGAAGTGTCCTGAGGGTCTCGCGTCCTTCGCACCGTGTCGCCGTCCGGCAGTAGGCCGTAGGGCTCCGGCCGCTGGCGTGCGACCATGCCCAGCGGTATGCCTACCACAAGCATGCCAATGCCCAGGAGGATTAGCGCCGATCGCCAGCCCAGCCCCCGTTCAGGACTGCCACGACGACCACGAACGGGCCGCCCACAACCGGGCCCATCATAGCGATGCCGAGCGCCCGGCCTCTCAGCCTGTCGAACCAGTTGGCTACGGCTACGGACCAGGACACGCCGTGCGATGAGCCGCTGGTGCCCAGGGAGGCGAGCAGGAAGGCGGCGTAGAACGTCCAGAGCGAGTTGATGAAGCCCATCATGATCATACCCGCTGCGCCGAGCACCACGCCCGCCAAGGATGATCTTCCTTGGCCCCCATCGGTCTACCAGGAAGCCGATGAACGGAGCCAGCAGACCGGACTCCAGCTGTCTCAGCGAGAATGCGCCGGACGTCATGGCGCGGCTCCATCCGAACTCGTTGAGGATGGGCAGGAAGAAGACCTGGAACCCCTGAAAGAACACTATGGACAGGTAGAAGTTGAGCCCTACGCTTGCGGCTACGATATACCATCCGTAGAAGACCCTTCGCATGGTGGAGAGGCTTATCGATCCTTGTCGTCCGTCTTTCGTGAGACGGGCACGCGGGGATACATGCGAGAGTAGCACTAACGGCTCTCGCTGTAAACGGGGACTGCGGTGGTGCCCTCCCGAGTCGTCCCGCTTTGTCGCGTGCGGGATCTGGCACGTTACAGGGGGCATAGAGCGAACTGGACATTTGAAGAGGCTCGTTCGTAGGCGGTCTGACGAGAGCAGTTAGGTGCGCGCGAACTCGATGGCGTGGAGGGCGAGGGTTCTGACGTCCTGTGGAGGGGTTTCTGGTGGCCCGCTGTCGCGGTCCAGCGGCGTCAGGGTTTCAATCTGATGCCTGCTCACCCAGCGCCATCCGGGATTCAACGCGCCCTGTGGATCCTTGAGGTGGCAAAAGTATATCATGTCGATGTGCTGGTGGTAGCCACTCTCCGGGTCGTGGATGTCCTCAATCAAGATGGTGAACGGTGGTTCCACCTGCCGCTGGCCCCCTATGTTCAGTAGACTGGCGGTCGGCACCAATCCGACGGCCAGTCCTGTCTCCTCCTCGGCCTCTCTCAGCACGGCTTGGACGGGGTCCTCGTTGTCTTTCGATGTGTCCACCGGGCGGGAGCCACGCGCCTACCTTGGGGTGCCAATGGAGGGCAACCCTGTCTTCGTGTACTACGAATGCTGTGGCTGTGAAGTGGCGGACTATTGTCATAGTCTGAATTGGGACGAGAGAGGGGGTGGCCCTGCGGCCACCCCCTCTCGAAGCTCGACTGTTGACGCCGACGGTTTCAGCCGCCTGACATCGCCGGTATGAAGTGGATCTCGCTGTTCTCCTTGACCCGCTCCAGCATGCCCAGGTTGGACGTCTCGCCATCCACAACCACCGCAATGGCGGGGTTGATCTCATTTTCCTCGCACAGCTCGTCCTTGATGCCGGGGTACTCCTTGTCCAGGTTGTTCACCACCTGGCGAATGGTTGCCCCGTCCACCCACACCTGCTCCTTACCAACGAGCCTCTGCATTCTGGGCGACATCCACACTTCCGGCATTTCTACGACCCTCCGTTGGCCTTGCCGGCCGCCCACATGGCCTCCATGATTCGACCGGGAGACATGGGCAGGCTGTTCATGCGTACGCCCACGGCGTTGCGAACGGCGTTGGCGATGGCTGCCATGGGAGGCACGAGCGACACCTCTCCCACGCCGCGAACGCCGTAGGGGTGCCCGGGGTTGGCAACCTCAACCAGCACCGTGTCGATCATGGGGAGGTCAAGGCTGATCGGCATCCTGTAGTCCAGGAAGCTGGAGTTCACCATGTTGCCTTCGTTGTTGTAGTAGTACTCCTCGTTCAGGGCCCAGCCGATGCCCTGCACGGCGCCGCCCTGTACCTGGCCCTCCACGTAGCTGGGGTGGATGGCCTTGCCCACGTCCTGAATGGCGGTGAAGCGGAGCACGTCCACCTTACCGGTCTCAGGGTCAACCTCTACGTCCGCGATGTTGATGGCGAAGCATGCGCCGGCGCCGCCCGGATTGAGGTTTGCCCTGCCGGAGATGGGGCCGCCGGTGGCGTTCAGGCGGGACGCCAAGTCCTTGAAGGTGAGGCGCAGCTCGGAGTCGGTTGCGCTCTGGATGACGCCGTCCTCGTACTCACCTCTCCACGGGCACGTCCCAGATTTTGGCCGCTCGCTCCACCATCTGATGCTTGATGTCGAGCGCTGCCAGGTGGCAGGCGGTACCTATCTTCTGCGCCACGCTGCTGCCGCCTGCGCCGGTGCTGAAGCCGATGGACTCGGTGTCACCGACGGAGGGGCGCACGTCCTCGGCGGAGATGCCCAGCGTCTCGGCCAGATGCATCGCCATGACCACGCGGGTCCCGCCGATGTCGGGCGCGCCCGCGATCAGGTTGACCGTGCCGTCCGCGTTCACGGTGGCGAGGGCGCTCGCCGGGCCGGAGCCATTGCCCCAGAAGCCGGCTGCCACGCCGCGGCCCTGGTTGGGGCCGGTGAGCGGCGCGGAGTAGTGGGGGTGCTGCTTGGCGGCCTCAAAGGTGTCTACGCAGCCTATCTTGCCGAACACGGGGCCGGTCACCTGACGGGTGCCCTCCTTGGCGGCGTTGAGCAGGCGGAGGTCCATTGGGTCCATGTCCAGCTTCTCGGCGATCTCGTCCAGGACCTGCTCCACGCGAAGGCTCCCATGGGAGCGCCGGGTGCCCGGTAGGCGGCGACCTTCTGGGTGTTCACCAGCACGTCGAACGCCTCGATGTAGCCGTTGGGAATGTCGTATGGTGACAACATGCAGCGTGCGCCACCGCCCACGGAGGAGCCGGGGAAGGCGCCCGCTTCGTAGATCAGGTGAGCCTCGGCGGCCGTGATCCGGCCCTCCTTGTTGACGCCTATCTTTACCGTGATGTCGGAGCTGGAAGTGGGGCCGCTGCCCAGAAACACCTCAATCCTGCTCATAGCCATCTTGACCGGACGGCCGGTCTTCTTGGAGAGCGTGGACACCAGGGCGGGCAGGTAGTTCGTGCCCTTCCCGCCGAATCCGCCGCCTATCTCCATGGGGATGACCTTGACCCTGGAGGTGGGGAGACCGAGCAGCCTGGCCAGATCCTCGCGGGCGCCGAACAGCTGCTGCGTGCTGGTCCAGAGGGTCACGTAGCCGTCGGTGCCCCACATGGCGGTTGCGGAGTGAGGCTCGATGTAGCCCTGGTGTACGCGCTTGGTGTGGAAGTCCCGCTCCACCACCACGTCGGCCTCTTCGAAGCCCTTGTCTATGTCGCCGAGGCGGAACTCGAAGCGTGCGGCAACGTTGGTGCCCTTCTCGGGAGCCTCGTCGCCCAAGCCACCGGGTCCTCCGGCGGAGGCCCTGGTGGTCAGCATTTCGTGCAGGATGGGGGCATCCTCCTTCATAGCGTCGAGTGAGGTCAGGACTGGCTCGAGCACCTCGTACTCAACGTCGATGAGGGACAGCGCCTCCTCGGCCAAGTGCGCGCTTGTGGCTGCCACCGCCGCAACGGCGTGCCCTCGATAGAGTGCCTTCTCACGCGCCATGACGTTCCTGGTGCGGAAGCCCAGGTTGGCGATGGAGCCCTCCTCCTGGTCGGCAGCTCTGGCCGAGAGGTCGGGCAGGTCGTCGGCGGTCATTACCGCCATGACGCCGGGCAGTTCAAGCGCCTTGCTGCAGTCGATCTTCTTGATCCGGGCGTGGGCGTGAGGGCTGCGCAGCACCTTGCCGTGGAGCATTCCCGGCAGGCTGATGTCGGCGGCGTACCGGGCGCGCCCGGTCACCTTGTCGTAGCCGTCGTGCCGAATGGGCCGGGTGCCCACAACCTTTGAACTCCTGGTTTGACAGCACCATGTTGGGCTTGTAGTCCAGCATATTACCTCCTCTGAGTTAACATCTAAAGTGAGGACTGACGCTTCAGTCCGAGCGATAGTTTATCACAATCGGCGCGTGTCGACCACCGCACTCTGTGGAGAAGCGGGAAGCCCCTCTCAGTCGTGCCGAGCGCCTCGCGCCAGGCCATTATGAACTGGCCGTACGCGGCCGCGCTACTCAACTGTCCGGAATGCGGCCGGAGGCCATCAGCCACATGCGCGCGATCTCCGGCCCAATGAACTTGAACCTGCCACGCAGCTCCCGCTGCAGGACCGCCAGGTCATCGCCGGGCAGAACGCGGGTAGAACCAGTTGCAGAATCCGCCGTGCTCCTGCTGGAGCTCCTGCACAACGCCGGCGTTTAGAGATGCATGCCTCGATCTTCCTGCGGTTGCGGACTATGGCAGGATCAAGCAGCAGGCGTTCGACGTCCGGCGGCCCCATCGTGGCCACCTGGTCGATGCGCCAGCCGTGGAATGCGTTGCGGAAGGCGTCGCGCTTGGTGAGGATGAGGTGCCAGCTGAGCCCGGCCTGAAAGACCTGCAGGCTCATGACCTCGAAGAGCGAGTCGTCGTCTTCCGTTGGCTTGCCCCAGACCTCGCGGGCGTACCACTCTCGCAGGGGATCTCCCTGTGCCCACTGCTCAATTTCGCTCTTTTCCTCGTCAGGTGTTGTCAATCCGTACTCCTTCTGCAAGCGGCGCAGGGCGCCGATTTGTTTGAGAGGTGCTGCCCGAGCATCATGATACCCGAAGCAAGCTGGATCGTCACATTGAGGAAGGGTGGAGTAGTAAACGCTACGAGTGCCGGTTTGAGGATAAGACGGAGGCCGCCGCGTGGTGCCTCCGTCGAAATAGCACCAATGTCCACGCAAATTCTCCATGCACCGTACCATTCGAGGCGGCATCTAAGATGAAGAATCGCCATTGTCCACGCTAGTTCTTACATTTTGCGAAAATCCGGCGTGGACGTATTGACAACACTAACCCAAGGGGTAGAATGTTCACGTTGGGTGAAATATCCCGGCGGGCCCGAAATATCTCAATCTCCTGAAATCTTCTGGTATGGTGAAATGACAACAGGCGAAATGTCAGAATCAAGGCAGCAGCTGATGGCGAGGGTGGTAGACGCTCTTGATGAGGTGACCCGGTCCGGGCCGTACTCCGTGTCGCCGGAGTGGTTCACGCTGGACCTGAGCATGCCGCAGATGAGGGTGGTGTTCCTCCTGCTCCAGGAGGACTCGCTGCGAATGAGCGAAGTGGCGTCGGCGCTGGACGTGTCGATGTCCAGGGCCACGGGCCTGGTGGACAGGCTGGTCGAGAAGAACCTGGTGGGCCGGTGGCCTGACCCGGACGACCGCCGCTCGGTGCTGTGCGCTCTAACGGAGGACGGACGCGAGCTGTCGCGGCGTCTCCTGGCCGCTCGGCGCTCCCGCTGGGAGGAGCGGCTGACTCCCCTGACCCAGGACGAACTTGTGGATGTGTGCAGGGCAATGGAGCCTGTTCAGAGTGCGGTGCACCGGACCGCCCACGAGCACGCTGCAATCCCCGAGGGCGCCCTCCGGAGCTAGCTGCGCTCTCACAATCTCCGGAACTGGTACTCTCCTGTGGCGCTCCGGAAGATTTGATGCGCACCACCAATTGACGTAGTGAGGAACGCTTGATGCAGCCCCACATCCGCGAAGAGAGGACCAGAGCTGCTGAGGCCAACGGGAGCAACGGCGCACTCGAGGCTGTGGAGGCCACCAGGACACCCGCGGCTGCAGAAGCGGGCAACGGCCGCGATGGCATGGGCGGCTATAGGGGCGGCATGGGTGGCGGCGGCGGCCCGATCTCCCTTCGCAACCTGACCACCTTCACGTCCTTCAAGTACCCTGCGTTCCGCCTCTTCTACGGCGCGATGGTTGGCCAGATGGCCGCCATGAATATGCAAATTGTGGCGCGCACCCTGCTGGTCTACCACCTGACCGGCTCCGGGACTGCCCTTGGAATCATGGCCCTCGGCAACGCCACGCCCATGCTGTTCTTCTCCCTCTTCGGTGGGGTCATCGCCGACCGTGTGCAGAAGAAATACGTCCTGCTGGCGGGTCAGGCGGCATCTGCGGTGGTCTCCCTTGCCGTTGGCTTGCTGCTGGTCACCGGGATGATGACCCCGGAGCGATCCGGCTCATGGTTGCTGCTGGTGGCGGCCGCGCTGGTGCAGGGCACCATCATGGGCCTCATGATGCCGTCCCGACAGGCCATGATTGCAGACATTGTGGGACAGGAAGAGCTGATGAACGCAGTGGCGCTCAATACGTTCGGCATGACGCCACGCGGCTTCTGGCTCCCGTGCCCGTCGGGTTCATCATCCACTCGAGCGGCTATGAGGTGGTCTACTTCGCCATGACCGCCATGTACATCGTGGGCAGGTGACTCTTGCATTCGCCCTGATGCCAAGGCCGGCCCACTCCCCAACCCACCCCATCATGGGGTCACTAGCGCGGCCCAGCGAGCATTGTGGACGGACGTGAGTCGACGGCAGCTCTGATACGTCAGTAGCGAGAAGACGAGCCTGCTTGGTGTGCTGGCCGTCATCATGTCGTGGTTTACAGCTCGCGGTCATGAGCCCCTACATGAGCTGCTGCCGCCGGCGCTTGACCGAGGGACGTCCTGGCAGGTCTGCGGAGAGGGGTACGGTTCTGTTTATGATGTCCGGCGTTGGAGCCATGCTCGGCTCCATTGTACTGGCGTCGATGCCCAACAAGAAGCGCGGCATCATGCTGATCCTGGGAAGCTTGGTGCTGGGTATGGCGCTGGTGGGGATGTTCTTCTCCAGCAGCTGGGTGCCGGGACTGGCCCTGCCGCTGGCATTCGGGTTCATATTCTTCGTGGGCATAGGCCAGACGGCCCGAATGACTCTGGGCAACACGCTCCTCCAATACTACGTGAAGGACGAGTACCGGGGCCGCGTGATGAGCCTGATGATGATGGAGTTCGGCCTCACCAGCTTCGGAGTCGTCTTCGCGGGCATAATGACGGACGTGATAGGCGTGCAGTGGGCGGTGGGCGGCATGGCTATTCTCCTAATAGCCTTCTCCGCCTTTGCGCTGCTCTTCATGCCAAGAATCAGGAAGCTGGACTAGGGCGATAGCCCGCGGTCTATAACGGAACAGGCGGTCGAGATTGCAGCGAAGATTCAGAGGCGGTGATATAGGGCAGGGCGGAGGCGACGGCAACGGCCGTCCGGACTCCAGCGTTGCAGTGGACGGCAGCGGCCCCCGCGGAGGCGTCCTCGCAACCACATTCGCCTCTCTGCGGTATCGAAACTTCACCTTCCTCTGGCTGGGACAGCTGACCCACGCGTTCGCCCTGTGGATAGACATGCTGGCCAAGCCCCTGTTCATCCTGCACCTGGGCGGTTCAGCGGCAGACCTTGGGCTGATACTGGTTGCCCGGACCGTACCCGCCGTAATCTTCGGGATGCTGGCCGGCGTGGTAGCCGACAACTTCAACCGGCGTACCGTGCTCGTGATTACCAAGATCGTCGTATTTATACTGAGCGTGGGGTTCACGGCGCTCGTGGTCACGGGGGTGGTGGAGATGTGGCACGTCTTTGCCTACAACATCCTGCGCGGTATGACCATGGCCTTTGACCAGCCTGCACGCCGCGCCATGATACCCACCATTGTCCCCACCAACCTGGTCACCAACGCCATGGCGCTGAGCACCGGCAGCATGACAGCCATGCGCATTGGCGGAGCGGCCGCCGCCGGCTTGCTGGTTGCCAGCTACGGCTTCGGCGTGACCTACGCCGTCATGACGGCCATATACCTCGTGGCAATAGTCTTCACCTGGATGCTGAGGCCCGCCGACCACCAGAGGTCCGGCTACCAGGGTATCAGGAGCATGGGCGGCGACTTCGTGGAGGGCTTTCGCTATGCCTGGAAGGTGCCGGACATAAGAGGCATCCTAATCATCTCGTTGGGATGGTTCATGTTCGGCATGGCGTTCATGCAGATCTTCGCGCCCCTCTTCGCTGCCCAGGTCCTCACCGTGGACCCGGAGGGCACGGGAGTGGACCGCATTGTGCGGTTTCTAGCCGACGATCCCGGCATCGTAGTTGACCCTGCCGAGGGAGAAGCGGCTGCCGGCGACAACACCGGCACCGAAGTTGTCCCCGCGGAGGGCGAAACGGCCGCTGGCGAGGACCAGAAGGAACCCGTGAAGGGAGCGAAGCTATTTGGGGCCATGCTGTCCGTGGCCGCCGTTGGCAGCACCTTCGGCGCTCTGGTACTGGCGTGGACCAACCCGGCGCGTTTCCGCGGGCTGATCATGCTGGCGCTGCTATTCGTCTTCGGTTGGCTCCTCATCACATTCTCAGCCTCCACCTATCTCCAGTCGGTGCCGCTGGCCCTTCTCATTCTTCTGTTCCTGGGCGTAGGACAGTCGGGATTCTTCCCGTTAATTAACGCAGTGCTTGTGGAAAAGGCGCACGAAACCATGCGGGGGCGCGTTCTTGGTGTTCTCGCTCTGGACAGGGCAATGACGACAGCCGGAGGGGCCGCGGCCGGCTTTCTGGCCTATGAAATGGGCGCCCAGATGGCGCAGATACTCTTTGGTGTGGGACTTGTCATCACTGCTTTGGTCATGTTCGCCGCCTATCCGCCGCTGCGCAGGATCGACTAGGCTAGACCAGGCACTCGGACAGGAAAGGGTAGTACATGGACCCTAACGTCCAGAGAAGATTCGAAAGGCTCTCGGCAATTGCCGAGGCCGCGCCTGAGACGGAGTGGAAGGACCCACCAAGCTGGCTGCCTCCTACGTTTCACGCGCTTGCCTACCGGAACTACCTGTTGATGTTCATCGGCCAGATAAGCAACTCGCTGGCTATGTGGATGGACCTGGTGGCGAGGCCTGTGCTGGTCTTGGCAATTACCGGCTCCGCGGTGCAGCTGGGAATGATTGCACTAGTGCGCGGCGTGCCCATGATGTTCCTGGGCCCAATCGGAGGCTTGGTCTCAGACCGGTTCGACCGCCGCACGGTCATGCTCTTCTCCAAGAGCTTGAGCATGGCCGTCAACGTCACCTTTGCCGCCATAATCATCACCGGTCAGGTCGAGTTGTGGCACATCTACGCCACTGCGATCTTGCGCAGTCTGCTCATGGCCTTCGACGGGCCGGCGCGGCATGCCCTTCTGCCCAGCCTGGTTCCGCCCAAGCTGCTAATGAACGGCATAGCTCTGAACACGGGCAGCATGCAGATAGTGCGAATCCTCAGCGCCTCCGTGGCCGGGTTCTTAATCGCCTTCTGGGCATGGACATTCGGATTTGAGGATGAGGACGCCCGGAGCTTCGGCGGCGTGTACCTGGTCACCGCCGCAGCGTACGTGGTTGCGGTTGGGGCCACCTTCATTCTGAAGGTGCCGAGGGAAGGCCGAGTGGAGCCCACGCGTGACAACTGGCTCCAGGGGCTGACCCTCGGCTTCAAGTTCGCCGGCCGTAGCCCCGTCATCCTGGGGTTGCTTATCCTGTTCGCAGTGCAATCTCTGTTTGGTATGCCCTATCTGCAGGTGTTCGTGCCCTGGCTGGCACTGGAAGTGATGGACCTTGGAGCCGAGGGAGTGGGGATGTTGCTGGGCATTTCCGGGATAGGCTCTCTGGCGGGCGCGCTTTCACTGGCCACGTTCGGCTCCAAGTTGAGGCACCGCGGGCTGATCATCATCGGCGGGCTTGCGCTCTACGGCCTGGCGCTCAGCGGCCTCGGTCTGTCGTCCATGCTGCCGCTGGTGGCAGTGCTGGGTCTGGCCGTGCCGATCCTGCCGGCCATTATGATCATCATCGTCGGCGTGGGCCAGACGGCCATGATGACGGTGAGGACGGCGGTGTTGATGGAGGTTACGCC